CAGACAACCCCGTAACAATATGCGTTTTGTACTGCTGTTACACAGCACAAAACGCATAAAAACAGGAATTCTTGCAGTGGGAACAAAAAAAAAGGCATAGGAGAGAACACAAAAAGTCAAACTAGCAGTTATGTAAATTACAACAGAAAAAAAACACTCACAACAGTAAGCCATCCAAGTGCCTGGATTCCTTCGCTTGCCGCTGAGATGTGATTGAACAACGGTGTATTTCTCTTGGACTCTTTGAATGTTGAAATTTCTTCCATTAACTTAACGATTGGGCCAAGTTTCGCTTGTAGCTCGTTCGCTGGAGGCTCTTTTTGTCCGGCTGCTGCCCAGATAAAATTGCGCTGCTCATTGAAAAGTGCCACTATTTTGTCACCCTGAAAGTATTTATCGGAGAATATTCAATCACTGTATTTTACCAGTAATTTCACTGAAAGAGAATTTCTGGAGCCCTATTTTGGAAAGAAAGAAATAACAGAGTTGGCAGAAAAATGTTACCACAATCTGCAAGTCGCCACCGATAGCAGCACTCAGTTTTTGCAGTCTCTGCAGTGGTTCTTCAATTACATCATCATACTGCACCACCGACAGTGGAGCCTCACATGATGCTGCAACAAATTTCCATGTATTAATGAAAAAAAAGCATAAAAAGATATTATGTTCTCTTGTAAATATTACAGGAATTTAAGGTAAACTGTTATAAGGTTATTCAGTAATTATCAAAAATGCTGTAGTTGCAAGCACTAAAGATATTTTGCAAATGTCAAATCAATATCGGGAGCAATGATAAATTCAGAACTCGCACCACGCTGAACTGATCCGACTAGCGGAAGGTGAAACGGCAAGAAAACGCATGACAGCGTTGTTTTGGTAAAAGATTCCGACTTTTTGAAAGAAGATAGTATGCCACATGTATTTTTATTTCCAGTAATGAAATTTTATTTATCTTTACTGCGATCCATGCATCACACATTCCCTTTTTCGATTAAATCTTAATATCCTGAACAAAAAATGTCTGGAACTGCGAAAACATATTTAAAAGTAACGGCAAAACTACTTCGATTTATCCAGACTTCGTATGAAGAGTAACGAGAAGCTTTTCATTCTCTTCTCCCTCTCCACAAAACTTAAATGATATAAAGAGAATAAATAAATAGCAAGGCGTACTAGCCTAGCCAGTGCGATCATGCGTTTTGTGCAATTCCGTCCTCCGAACAACTGCCTATTAATGTACTTTAGTCTGTGCAAAAATAGTTGAAACGTTAAAAAATAGTTAAAATTTTGACGTACTAGCACATGAAAGCTGAATTTCAAACCTAGAAGGGTGAATATTGTTCCAAAACTTCAACTGCCTAATTTTCTGGCTTTCGAATGATCTTTGAAGCAAAACTTTCACGTGGCCGTACGTGAGAGCTTGGCACAATTAGGAAGTGAATTCGAGTTTATGAAGCCTCTGTTTAGGCAGGCAACATTCTTCTGAAATTTCTAGTCTCCAAACTCTTCTGGCTCCTGAGATGCTGGTTTTTCTCGCCAAAACTTCACAGGGACGTTGAAAATTTGCGGAGTTGCAAATGGGTAGGAGAGCCATGCTAAAATTTCAGCTTTCTATCTTTAGCAGTTCACGAAACAATTTTCCTGCCAAAACTTTCACGGGCCGTACTTGGCACCCAGGGGTGCGTGAAAGCTGAATCCATGTTTACGGGGGTCGTACGCTGATAGGGAACATCGCCGTAAACATTCAGATTCCAAGCTTTTGTGGATCCCGAGATAGTAATTTATCCGCCAAAATCCTCACCTGGCCGTAGGTGATATTCGAGAGCGCGAAAACGCTGAAATTCAATTTGCAAGGCCGTACTTGGGCAGGGGATCGTTACATCAAAATTTCTGCTTCCTAGGTTCCGTGGTTCCCGGGAAAATAATTTACCTGCCAATGTTTTTACGGGATCGTTTGTGCTACTCGCGGGCAGAAGGCTAGGTTTAAATTTCTTGGGTCGCATGGGCAGGGGACATGCCCACAAAATTTCAGCCTTCCAGCTTCCGTGGTTCCCATGATAATAATTTTACCCGCCAAAACTTTTACGGAGCCATACACCGCGTGCACGGGGAGGCTGAATTTAAATTTGCGGGGTCACACGTGAGTAGGGGACATTCCCCTAAATTTTCTGCTTCC